ACAAAAAAAAAAAAAGCAGTTTATTTTTCAAAAAGACTTCTGTTATACACCCCCCCCTTACTTGCACAATATTCTCTGACTGAATCCTTAACAGTCAGGGACTGAGAAGATATAAACAGGACCAGCATAGCTTCGTATAACATCACTTATTTTGGACTCTGGCTACAAAGCTTTGACTGCTTCATCCATTAAGACTAAATTCATTTCCCTATTATTAGAAGTCTACATGTGCTCTTCAAAATTATCTTGCTTTTGGAAAATTTCAAGATAGTGATTTCTTATCGTTTTCTTTTTTCTTACCTCCCAAATCTGGGGGCTTAAAAATGGCAAAAGACTCGATGATAAGATGGTACCCAGAGACATTAGGATGTTCCTTTCTAGCAGTAAACTGTATTGTGTTTTGTAAGTAAAATAAAGATTCTCAGTTCTACGTGTGAATGCTATTTAAAAAGTGAGCTCAAGTCTGAAAAGCAGTTTAATGCAGGTAGCAGAATTTTTTTTCATTATGAATATCAATATTTGTTCAATTAATTGTCTATACTTGTTCCATTCCTTCATTTCTCTCCCAGTCTGCTTTTCACCCTTCTCCAATATGTTCATTCATATACAACCATTTTTACTCTACTCTTTAGGTCTCCTTGCATGCTTCACTTGTACATGAAAAATGTTCCTTTTCCGTTTGTGGCCAAACTACTACCCTGTCTACATTCCCATAACTTAAAAAAAAACAAAACCCAAAAAATGATAGCAAGCGCCTTGACAGATTTTTAGTGTCAATTTATCAAGCAAATTGTGACAATGCCACATTTTAACTTGTAATGAATAACTGATTTAACCTCTTTCTATTTGAGAGTCTTGCATGGACTCATTCTGTTTCTGAGATGAACTTCTGGTCTGCTAAGCAGGCTCAGGCACCTTTTCAGATTTTTATTAAACTTTCGTATAACTGTAGCATCCCAGCACTTTTACAAAGTGCATAAAGCCACACAATTAGTATTTGGTAGGTGTGTTTCTTTCTCCTTTTCCTTCTGTTTCAGCCACAGGCAGTTGAATGAAATCTATGCAAATCTCAGAGTCCAAAGGAAATTCCTGTAAGTCTCTCTGCCTTATTTACTCAGGTTTAGTTAACAGTGATCCAATTTTCCTTCCTTCACATTATACATTGTGGTCACACGCAAATTACCTTTCATGAAGTCATTCTTTCTTAGATCATTTTCATGCTTAACATAGCATGTTGCATGCAAAAATCGTTTTAGACTAATGCATGAACTGTATGTATCATTTCAACTAACATACGGGAAGCCAACACTCTGATAAGGTCATATGCAATTGGGTTATGAACATTTAACACTGTCATCTTTTAAAATAAATTTTTAAAAACTGGTTTTCATTTAAGAGCATCTTGTAAGTAACAAATGGCAGCATTTTTAGATCATGTCTTGTAGTTCAATATGTACTTGACAATACTGGACTATCAGACATTGTCTCTAAATCTGGAGAAGCAATTGATAACCTAGTATGGATGCACAAATAATTTCATATATAAAAAGACAGGGCAGGCTACATACCATGCTAAGTGTGTGAACTGAGAGTCAACTGAACATGCCACTACTTCAGTGTTTATTGCTTTAAACTCTTCAATTCGGTCACTGAAGGCGATGATCTCCGTCGGACACACAAACGTGCTAAAATTTAAAATGGGTTAAATTCTCATTTCAGAATATTGAAGATTTCTCCACAAAACTTATCTGTGCACTGACAGAAGAAATTAGTTATTTTTTTTCAGTAGAGAAAAATGGAAAACAAATTATAGCTTAGTTTTATCTTAACGTTTTGAAATCAAATCTGCTAGAAACAGCATTTTTACTAGTGTTTATCAAGATGTTCACGGACACATTCTAAAGAAACACTCGATTCATAAACTGTAAGACCGAAAATACAGTCAGCATGCATTACAATTTACAGTTTAAATATTCACAATGACTGTTTTTAGATTTTTAAAAAAGCAAGTGGCCAGGTTTCAAGGGTTAACTTTTATTCCCTTAACACTATTAGAGCAGCGTAATGTTCCTACTACTTCATTGCATACTTTTATTTCTCACTTCATGGAAATTGGAGTAACGCTACTGAAGTCAAAGGAGCCATTACACCAACATTATGAGTGGGAATTGGACAAGTTATGGAGCAGGGGGTACTTAAGTACATATCAGAAAGACAAAGGGGAAATCGCATGTTCTGAATATCACTTTAAGGGATCATGAAGTAGGCCGCGAACAGTATTACTTCATCTGCATTTCTCACTTGCAGCAATGATTTACATGCTTGACCAGTCTTTACTTTGATTTTTACTTGCTCTGTTCCCAGTATTCTGAAGGGGGCAGAAAAAAAATGGTGCATTGACATTGGTTTTACTTACAAGTCAAGAGGGTAGAAGAAGAAGACAAGATATTTTCCGTGGTAATCTGTTAATTTCAGCTCTTTAAACTCTCCGTTGATTACTGCTGTTCCTTCCCAATGGGGTGCTGGCTTCGAGACTGCAAAATGGAATACATCCAAAATAAAGTATAAGTATAAAATGAGACATTTGCATGCATATATATGTGTGGTTGTTTAGCACCTTGTGCCCAAGGATATGTTTTTTCCTTACTTAGGCACAGCTGTGGTTTTATATACTGAAATACAATGCAGGTTGTGTAGCTACACAAACTTGTAATTACTTTTAAAGGTGGGGTGTCAAACTAGCTTCCTGACCTAGCCAGATTTGGACCTGGGGCTCCTTGTGGGCTGGATACAGCTCTGGGCACAGGATGGCTCTGGCTGTGGCAACTCCTACCTAGTTTGTACAGTGGCAGCAGCACCTCCACTCCTGCTGCAAACACCATGCTGGCGCTGGAGTGGTAGCTCCTGGTCTGGCCTGCAGTATGGGGCAGTGTATCCAGCAGTTGAGGAGCTGGGGCTGCAGTGACAATGACAGGTGAAGCAAGCCCTCGCTTGCCCTCTTGCTGCTGACTGCCATGCTCATTGAGACTATAAGGCCCTGGATTCTGAGGCAGGCCATTCCCCCAACTTCCCATGGCCAGGCAGAAGCCCAACAGGCTGGGTACAGCATCTGGTCTGCAGGACATATGTTGGACACCCCTGCTTTAAAGTTTCATGACTGGCAACTCCACTATGTTGGCAGTCTCTCCAATAAGAGGATGAGAGTCTTCCAGTAAATACGGAAGTCACTGGAGAGTTTGTAATGACTGAGGATGATCAGACATGTGCTTGTTTACTGCAAATGTGGCAAATAGTTCTGGGAAGAAGTAGGTCCCAGTGATGTTGGGTCACAACTCCTTTCCCCCCCCCCCCTTTCTCCATCTCGTCTATCCATCTCCGTAAGGAGACCAGCTTGTTCAAAAAGATCAATGCCTTGTTACAAATCAGAGCACTGGCGATGATTTGGTGCTCAGGTCTCTTTGGTACTGATGTTAAGATTACATTTCTTCAGCTTTAGGGGTATAGGTTGTAGCCTTGTTGGTGTAAGGACACAGGCAGACAAGGTTCTTTTAGTAAATCTGGTATTTTATTAGACCAACTCAAATAGATGGAAAAATCCCTCTTCACAAGCTTTCAGGTATAAATACCCTTTGTCGCTAACTGCAGTTGTTTCCTCAGCCTGACTAAGGGTATTTATACCTGAAAGACTGCAAAGAGTGATTTTTCCATCTATTTGAGTTGGTCTAATAAAAAGTATCAGATTTACCCAAGAACCTTGTCTGCCTATTTCTTTAGCCTGGCCTTTAAAGTGTCCTTGAATTTCTCCTCTTTGCTCACCCCTGGAGTGGTGGAAGTATAGGACCTGTTTTGGGAGCTGGTTGTCAGACATCCTTAGGGAACATCTTGTCCAATGGAGCTGGTGCTATATAAACATACTTTCAATGATAGTGGTGCTTGTTTAAGCCAGAATGCTGGCATTCCTTCTTCTGTCCTTCCAACTGATGTAGAAGATCTTCCAAAGACATTGCTGATGATAACACTACAAAGCTTTCAGGCATTTCCTATACGTTGTCCAAGATTCATGCACATACAACAGAGTAGGGATGAAAACACCCTGACAGACAAGAAGTTTAGTTTGAGTTCTGATGTCATGATCACTGAAGATGGATTTTATCCAGTGCTGAATATTATCTATTTTTATCCAGTGTTGTATACTATTTTTTGGGAATGGTAGCTACCCAGGTAGGGGAAATACTCAACATTCTCTAACAACTGCTGTCTAATTGTAATATGTGGAAGAGCAGCAGGTTGGTTTGGCGTGGCCTGATTAAGTATTGTCGTTTAGGTGAACCATACATGTGACCAGCATAACACATTACACAATTAACTACCAGCTGACATCTTACAGATTTAGGGCCTTTATTTAGAACCCAACTCTTTATTTTAATATGAAACTTACTTCAGACTTTGGGAGACTACGCTATCTAGGAATAACTTATATGCTGGCAGAACAAAATGGCTCTGCTTCAACCTAGTTTTACTGCCAGCCAAGAATAGTATTCAGGATTCATTTTAGGTTATGCATTTCAGGAAATGCATAACCTAAAACGGGATGCACAGAACACAGAATTAACCTATAATTAACTTGGATGTTTCTTCACAAAAAAAACCAACAGA